AGTAACGTACTGCATTACTTTTAAGAAAAGGGTTCTGTGTAATATGTGTAATAATTACTTTTTTAAGTAATGACTCCAACAAAGAGGGGAAGTACCTCAACAAACATTCACAAACATTCAAACCACAGCATGCAATTCCTTTGAATGAATGTAATTTCTTTATTGCTCCTTGGCAATGGTGGTTTCTCTCAAAATGACGCCAATGAGAATCAATTAGTGATATCAATAATGGAATCGCTGAATTCTTCTCAATCCTCATCTCTATACATATATATTGATACATTTAAATATGTATCTTTAAGATTTCATCAAGTTATTCAACATTGTTTCTTATTTCTTTATATGCTCTTTTGTCTAATTTGGTTTTTGGTCACATAGCTCTTGTTTAAAATATAACCTTTGTTATATTCCTCCCTCTTCAGCGCTCTCTCAACTGCAACAACATGTACACAGAGGACGGCGCAGTGTACCGTTCAGGCATTGGCGAGTCTACCGTCTCACTGGACAGGTCAGCCAAGAGCCGCAGTAGCTACCTGGCTTACACACTCAGGTACAACACGCTGACTGACTGCATGGCTTTTTGCACTCTGCTGTGTGATGAGCGTGTCTTGGTATTCCTTTCAGATTTCTTTCTTTGGTGCCCTTTGTGCATGTCTGAGATGCAGAAGTCTCACGCTGATTAACACACCTTACTGCATCACACACACACACACACACACACACACGCTGCATAAGTATACACACGCCCTGTCCACCCTTATTCTCCAAAGGTATCTTGTTTCTTACACCGCATGCATTCTGCCACATATTGGCACCTTCTGCATGAAAATTTTACTGACATTTGCCAATGCATGGCACACGGCCTGTTTGCAAAAAACTAAATGCACATAAATAAACATATATTCCTCCATATTACTGTGTTATTAAATGAGATAATTAGATTCCACTATTGCTTATGTGAAATTTGATGTGGTACATTTTCTATAGTACAGTAAATTTATGCTATGTATGTTTATTGCTTTAGCAGCAAGTGCAGTAATTTCATGGTAATGTGACAGATTTAAAAGTGTTGAACATTCACATGATTTTCTTGTGCTTTTAACAAAAATGGAATGAAATATTACAACTTTCATGATGGCGGTTGTAGCATTAGGTAGAATTGTTTTGCAAAGCATTAGTTTTATCCTCAGTGTTGTGAAAAAGTATTTGCTTCCTTTCTAACCCGAGTAAATGCAAAATGCAGTTTTCAAATGATGAGTGGATTTATTAAGAGAAATAAGCCAAATTTACTTGATTTGTCTTTGTCTGATATTAAAATTTGTTTGATCTAAAACATAAGCTTGACAAATATGCAAAAAATTAGAGATAAATATTTTTTCACACCACTGTAGGTGCTGCCAAAGTGTGTAAAGCTTTATTTTCTATTGTACTTCACGTTAGTTTTTAGCACAGAGGAGACAGCGTCCATGTGCTTTAGAGTTTATGTATAAGGAGCCCATTCTCACTCCTGAGCTGTAGGGCTGCTCGATTATGGCAAAAATGATAATCACGATTATTTTCACTGAAATTGAGATCTCGATTATTTGACGATATTTATTTAACAATAACAATGTATTGAATAATGACTTTAAAGCTTGTCAAAAATAATATAAAATAGTGTGCAAATACTGATAACAGTGCAAATGTTTGCAATATAAAAAATAAATGAAAAATGTAAACATCTATGTTTAGTGAACTTTGCAGTGTTGCTCTGTGGTGCAGCTACGACACTGTAGCAAAGTTTACACACTGTGTCTACTTGATCCACGTCGGACCCCGCGAACCCATAATGTTTCCACACCACTGAAGGTTTTTTTACCTCTCTTTTCAACCAACGGCAGTCACTCTCCTCTCCAAACAACTTCTGCTTAGCTTTCCGAGCTTCCCTCGGGTCCTCTTAATCAGCGGTCCCCAACCCCCGGGCCTCGGACCGGTACCGGTCCGTGAGTCGTTTGGTACCGGGCCGCGAGAGTTGAGGATCAGGTGTGAAATGTATAGTTTTCAAGGTTTTTATCGGTTTTCAGCGTTATTTTGTTATCGTTTTTATCGTTTACTCGGTTTTCCTGGGTCTTTTCATGTGTGTTATGAATACATTTTCTTTTTTTCCGGTACCGGTACTAGTTTTATTTTGTTGTATTTATCCGCGACACCTTAAAGGCTGGTCTATGAAAATATTGTCGGGCATAAACCGGTCCGTGGCGCAAAAAAGGTTGGGGACCGCTGCTCTTAATTGTTGTGACACGAGTTCGAAATACAGAGAGGTGCGCTCGATTTGCCACACGGAGCAGCGCGAGAGTACACACGAGGGAGGGGCTCATAATCGGCTCAGTCATTTTTAATGATCGTTGAAAGCCCAGATCGTAATTGTGATTAAAATTAGATTAATTGAGCAGCCCTACTGAGATATAATATACCGGCGATTTGTTGATTTCCATGAGAACGCAAAAGGCGACTTTCCGCGTTCCTATGCTACGCGACGGATTGTGGATGAAATCCAGTACAACGACGATCCCGTGGTAATAGATGTTCCAGCCATGTATTCCAGCCCTAACCCTAACCTTATCCCTAACCTTAACCACCACTTTAATGACATTAGATAGTGTTTTAGAAAACGATTTAAGTAAAACATACATGTGTAGATTCATTCCAAACGGTTCTCATGTTTCGTCATTTTTCCAATCTCGTAATATGGGGACGTGTTCGGTGCCCAGAAGCGTAATATACTGAAGATTTGTCACCTGGCGCTTTGGGAGTGAGAACATGTTGGTATAAGATGATAAGACTGAAATTCAAACTGAAATCAACTCAGATTATTATAATTTAAAGGAAAATTTTGAATGAAATTTAATCTCAAAATTTAACCGTCACGGTGTTCTCCATTAGTTTTACATATGTTGCTAAAGTAACACCGGTTTAGCTAGTAAACTTTTAGCTTGGTATTTCTAAATACATGCGTTATTGCAATGTTCTGCAGTTGAAATTTGCTGGAAATTATTGTACTTCAAACTAAACTCACTAAAGACATAACATTAATACATTACAATAATAATTATATAGCTTTGTGGTCCAAGCTAGCTACAGACTACTAGCATGTTTGATCTTGAGCAGTACAGCTAAATCAGTAAAGCTACGTTTGACTGTGTGACAGGTGTGTTCTTGATATATCTATACATTGAAAGACATTGACATTGAAAGAGGAATCTGCGCCAAAATATAGTTGTTTGTCATCTTAAGCTAATCTCCCCTCTTCTACAAGCTGTATCTGTTCAGTGTTCACTGACATGCTTTCATTATAGTAGGCTTGTGTTTCATATACCTGGTGTTTTTAAGCGCTTTACAGTATCACACTTTCGTCTGACTGTACGCCTAGCCCGTAAAGCTGTCATCTGGGTAATAAGAGCTGACTCTAGGGTCAATAAGAGTAGTAACGCTGGGGGGGGAAGAAATGTGGCGAGCTGCCTGTAGGTGAGGCGTAGAAAGAAGCAGATAAGAGAGCAAAAAGTGGGGAAACTATAAAGAGAGGAAGAGGAGAAAAATAAGGTGATGTGGAAAGAAAAAAGCATAAACGAAGGGGTGATGGGATTATACCTGTTGAGGTAGGAATGTAATGTAGATGTGCATACCTCTTCCCTGGAGCTGTTGGCACGTCTTCAGCTGCTTCCAGAAGCTTCTCTTAGATCAGCCATCAGACAGGTCAGAGTCTCTAGTAGCAGTTTTTGCCCTCCAGCCAAGTTCTCATTCCAGCCTGGAATAAACAGCTTCAGACAGAGAGGACGGGAGAGGAGAGAAAAACGTAACCCATTTGTCATTTTGATCCATTAAATGATTACTAAACAAAATGATGATTACTAAACTAAAAAATTCTGAATTCTTGCAATAATTATACCACGACCAGTAACTGATGAAGAGAGGGTAAACCTGTATTCAATTTTTTTCAGTATTAATGATCAAGCTGGGACTTTCTGACATTAGACAAACAGCAGCACACACAAACTAAATGTTATATTCGCTTTGTCTGTGTCAAGGCAATCAACAGTACCAGATGTTTTGTAATGAGAGATGTCTGCTGCATCAGCTGTTAAACATCAGTTGTGTAAAACCACAAGTTGGGGCTTGAATTAACTTCCAGCAATGATGTACTTCCCCTCTGTGTCTTCTCTAAATCTACACCTCTATTCATCTGCTCCTGTTTCTCTCTTTCCTGCCTATGCCGTCCTTGGTTTTTCTAGGGAGGAGTCTGGTCAGAAGCCCAGTGGCTCTTC